TACACATAGTATCCATGAAGTATTGGAACAGGTCAAACCTGCCCCTCTGTGTTTTAAACCTAAACTCTGTTTTTCGGTTTCTGAGCACCTCCACTTTTTTCAAATAATTGTGCCCACAACTATTACCAAGTTTATTACTATACAAATATACAATTATGTTCAGAAATAACTCAATCAATTATGTTCACAGCTTTCCAGTTCCAATTGGTTATGGGCGATAATAAGGATGACGATTCTGTTCTACAGATTGAAGACGAAGCACCACCCCCTCAACTCCTGGACGAAGGATACGCCACCCCACTCTTGCCAGCCACCGATCCACCCACCAACCCCACCCACCAACCCCACCCACCAACCACACACCTAACGCGCCACGTCGCAGACGTAAAGCATACCCGATACAAATTACTGACACACCACCCACGATACTGTTCACTGCTGACAAAGGTCACGACAAAGGGACCTGGGCGATGTTTGACATCTCTGGCACCAAGTTTTGACACCTGGAAGACAGACCTCTACATTGCAGCCGCCTCCGAGTATACCACCGACCACCGGGCTACCTCTCTTTGTCTATGACAGTACTGCTGCTATAGACATGGTCGCATCCCAATTTCCTATTGCCAACAAGGATTAAGTGAGCCTACCAGCGTCATTCTCATTTTTTGTCTACCACCCTGCACACTTCCCTGCACAATGATATTCTTCTCAGCTACCCTTGGCTACTCCTCAAATTATTGATCTGCCGATTTAAGCATAACTCAGCCAAAGAAAGAATGAACATTAATCACGTCTATCTCCGGCAATTCCAACGAAAAGATGACGATCCTCTGTGATGGGCTTTCAGATATGAGCTCCTCATTCGTCATGCACGTGAACAGGGTACCACCTTCTCGTCCGACTACACCCTGCCTCCCTGATTTCTATCAAGAATAAACCAAGGGTTTTTTCTAAACCCTGTATGTTCAAGAGCGGGAAATCATGAACAACTTCAAACCACCTACAGTGAACCGACCTGCTACCGCACCCGTAAATCCACTCTACACGCACAAATCAAAGCATTTTCAAAGCGAATGAACAACATTGACAGCTAAACCTGCTCCCCAAGCTGCCCGCAAGTTTCAATGCTAGGTTTACCTACGCTGTTACCAAAATAGGCGCGACTACCGCGATCGTCATACCCATTCATAATTCGCAACATTGCATCTAAATTTCTTCGACACGGCAATACTGTTGTTGGGTGCCCCCATCTTGGATGTTCACTATAGTCGTACCTATAGACTGACTCCATTCGGCTGTTCGCGACTCCAGTGCACTCACTGCCGCAATCATGCATGCCAGAGCCACCCCCCGAGTTCAGAAAATTTGTCCCACCTGCATGGAGGCAAAAATACGCACGAACTGAGTTGTACATGAATCCACAAATACAATATATGGCCCTGGTGAGAAACTACATATAGACCTTTAAAAGACCCATCGCTCTTGACCGCGACGGCAATATATATGCCCTGAATATGGTCAATGCTGACTCTACCTTTGGTATCCAGAGGAATTTGCCCAACAAAATGTCTTTGGAACAGCAGGTCGGCGAACTTCTCCCGCATTTTCCTAAACACTGGAAGCAACATGCCATTACGGGTTTTTCACTGAACATGGAACTTCTTGTTACGCCACACCACCCAATATCCCCCCCCCCCAGATGAACGCGGCTGTCGAAAGTCAACACTTCACAACAATTTGGCCTGCTGCCTCTTGCTTGACGCTGGCATGCCCCCCCTTTACTCTGGGGCTTCGCCAAAACATACGCCGACACCATTCGCAGTCACAATAATACCAGGTTATTCACATCCCATCGCATCTGGCAAAGGAGGCCAGCCACCACGTACCATCATATACGTTTTGGTTGCGTTGTTTTAAAATATACAAAGGCTCACACCTCACACACACACCGAACACAAGTACGCGCCGCAATTTGATTTCAGTGTTCTTCTCGGCCGCACACTTTTGCCAGAACAGAAGTCACATTTAAGATCGTGAAGTCCAATTTTTTACTGAATAATAACCTCATTGGTCTATTATATCAGGTAAACATGCCACCCACTGTGCTACAGGATATATGTAAAAGATTCCCAGTGACTAGGCGACTACCAACTTTTACGTTTCTGTCGAGATTCCCTATGTTTCCCCAGAATCACTCCTTTCCTTCCCCATTTCACCCCACCCCTATACAACTGCCTTCTGTCATTACACCGGCTCCTGAGCCTATCCCGCTACCAGTACTTTACAACCCCTCCCCTCCGCCTACTCCTATTTCAACCACCTCAGTGTTACCCCGCCTACTCCTATCGTTCTCCCACAATCCGCTACGATCCCCAGCCCACCTACGCCTATACCACTACCCCTTCGTCCCCCCCCCCTCCCCCCATTTCTTCCCCTTTATCGATTCCACCTGCTCCATCTCCACTTCCTATACCAGTACAGGCTCTTTCCACTGGCAATCTTCCTATCACAGACGATACTGCGTTTAAGCCTAACCTTACCACATTTTAGTTTTTACACACCGCCGTCGGCGCCCATCTACGATCCTGGATTAGATGCTGACTTCACTGACTTAGAGCCCTTAGCCCTTCGCGCCCAAATCGCTTCCCTTCGTGACGACCAGGCCACATGCCCCCCTCATGATTCTACCCGCGCACAGCTCCTCCGTTCCATAATCATCCCCCAGCGTCGACGCCTAGTCTATCGCACTTATCAAATCAAGTACAGAGTCCGATCTATTGTATCAATTTCAAAATCTGAATTTACTCTCACCGATGCGGTCAATTCCTCCACGATAGTATATACCCAAGGGCATATCCAAAGCTCAAGCAACCCCTGAATGGCCACTTAGGGCCGCCGCCTTTGACTGTGAATGAGGAGCTGCCTACGATCGCAACCAACTTGATAAAATCATCTCATCTCGTCCGTGCCTCTGAACACCAAGGTGCTTCATCCTGAAATATGCTTTTACTCGAAAACATGACTAGAATGGGGATATCACTATCCACAAGTCGTGCATGGTTGCGAGCGGCGATGAGCAGCAGCATGGTGGTTTCTTTTCAAACACGTATGCCCGCCCCCCTACCTACAGCTTCTGCGACAACAGTCCGTACGTTTCTGGCTACAGCAGAGCCTTTCATAATCGTAAGCACTACTTCGATGTCAATACGGCCTATCTGTACTCGAAATTAGACACACCGGTCTACATGCTCCCCCCTAAGGGCAGCATTGAAGCTCGATGACTATCCTCCGAACAAGGTACTCAAACTCCTTCACAGTTTATACCGGTTGAAAGACGGATGACTCTGGGACCAAGATATCGGCCATACCCTCCGTAGACTTGGTTTTATGTAAAGCGCACATGACGCATGCATGTATTTGTATTCACAAAGCCCGTAAGATTATCTTCTTCATATACGTCGATGAGATAGTTGCAGCAGTCACCCGTGACTCCGGCAACGCCTAATGGCTATTCACTCAACTGTCATTCACATGCAGTATGAAGAATCTAGGTTTAGCTCAACATTTAGTGGGTCTACGCATCATAGATCAATCAACGGGCACAATAGCGATTTTACATGTTGCCTACTTCGAACGCATGGCCATTTCATTTGTCGCCACCGACCCACCACCTAAGCATACACCTAGCTCTGGCACACACCCCGGCGCACATTATTTTACATTAATACCGACAGCTACTCGGCGCGCTGAGCTTTACGATGCGACCCGATATCGCGTGTGCACTTAATTAACTGGTTTCATTTAGTGTTGCCCCTCTAATCCCCCCCACTACGATGCACTAACCCGCATTTTACACTATCTCGTCGCAACCAAAACGCAGGCTCTGCGCTATACCACCGCCCCGGATAAGCTCGATATTGGTCATCATCGCCAAACGGCGTTCACAGGTTCTGACTGAGGCTCCTGCCCACTCACTCGTTAGGCACATACCTGAACTTTCATCACTCTGGATAACACACCTATACACTGGCGTAGTCGGAAGCAAAAAAACTGTCAGTATTGGCTCTACGAAAGCTTAGTATATTGCACCGAGACTACATGCAACATTGCGAGGGTCAGCAACATCCTCAATGCACTCGGACACACCGTTTTCCACCGTACACATCTACATGTCAATAACACATCTACATGTCAATAACACATCTACATGTCAATAACCGGTCGGCAATCAAAGTTGCCCTTGGCACCGGCACAAAATCATTGAAATGATTGTACGGTACACTCATGCGTTGTTTGCATATGCGAGTGCCAAGCGGTTGGATTAGCTGGTGCGCACGCTCTGGGGTTGGAGTGGCATGATGGAGATGTTGCACTCATGTGCGTCAAAGTTGTGATGCCTGTCAGACCGGTCTCTGACGACTTAGGGAAAGAGAAAGATCAACTCCAGCAGCCGAGGCGCCCTGAAGAAGCCATGCGGGAGCCAAGCATGGACTTTATAGACTGCTACTTTGGTGGCTAGTCCAAGGTACTGTTGACGGTGGACACGCAGACTCGGATGATGTTTGCAAGAGTCTTCGGTGCAAATGCGGGTGGACCTTCAGTGGTACGGTTTATTGAGGAGCAGGTCTTGGCTTGGGGTCCAAGAAGTTTCGGAATGGAGACGTGACGACGTTCTGCGAACGCTGTAATATTGAGCCGCATTGGATTACAGGAAGTCGGTACCAGAGCAATAGACCGCCAGAGATTCTCATCAGGACAATGAAGGACTGGTTGCGCAGAGAAAGTGTGGCTGCCGATGATTCTCCACATCTGTGGTGGCATCTAGTGTATGAGATGGTGCGGATCTACAATGCTATGCGCAATTCTGTCACGGGGTTCTCGCCCTACTTCCATATGACGGGCAGAAGTTTCAACGGGCAGAAGCGGTTGGAGTTGCAAGACAGGGTATTGTCCGTCCCTCTTGATATCTGAGAAGGAAACGGAGGCGCTATGGTTAGCGATGCGGTGGCGGCTGTTTGTAAGAGTGGCGCCAACATCAAGCGGGAAGATGTACCGTTGATGTCGGTGGGTTCTCAGGTTTGGTATAGATTGCGCGGCAAGTCCCGTGACCTGTCGGTGCGATGAGGTGGTTTTAGA